CTACAGTGACAGTTTACCGTCTTTCATTGCTTGCACAACACTATGTGAACACCGGTATCGAATGATAAGATCCAGCCAAGGTATTTGGAGACTGCCTTGTGCCGCAAACGATTCGAATTGCCTGCTAATAAGAAACTGGCGGTGTTATTAATGCATGGATCATATAATGATATGGAATTTCGCGTGGTTTACCCGACCGGGCGTTGAAAGACGTTTACCGCACCAATGTACTGAGCAGGGTGTTGATGCTTATCTTTGGTGATCAATTACCTGTGCTTTCAGCATGATTTTGATCGTAAGCATATACGTAAAGATTTATTCCTTGTTTCCTGTTTAGGATTGGGTTTCCGGTTCCTTCTAATGTCTTCTCATTCTTTTTCATTCCCATTAATCCTTTGCATCTTACAAGCATTATCACCTTGCTTGGGGTGAATTGATGATATATATACATATATACATATATATATATATATATATATATATGTATATTGACGATAATTGTGGAAAGAGTATATGATGCTAGAGATAAAAATGGTGAAGCCTGGGCTTTAGCTTTGGACATCTCAAAAGCTATTGACAATGTTTGGCATACTCGTCTTCTCCACAAGATAAAAATTTACAGTGTCTTCGGACAAATGTTTGAATTGATCTAATTTTTCCTATCAAATCGTGAAATTAGTTATCCTGAACGGCCACATTTCCAGATCCTCTCGTATTAATGCAGGTGACACCAGGGCTCCACATTTGGTTTTACTTTCTTTTTCATTGTCATTAATTACCTTTCTGATATTATCAGTTCTCAACTTGATATCTGCACTGATGATGCAACAATTTAGCCCTGCCTCGATAGTCAGTCTGACCAGTTCGATAACGTACAATTAGCAGCTGATGTTCAAAACAATCTTTAATCTATTGTTAACTTAGGCAAAGGGTAGCTTGTTAATTTTAACGGCTCAAAAAACTAAACTGCTCTCCATTAACCATCTGAGAGACTCCTCCTTGCCTTCGATCAGCATGGCTGATACTAACCTCCAGGAAAGTGACCCGTAGCGACTTTTCAGGCTAACGTTTTCTACTGACATAAAGTGGACAGACAATACTGAATCGATTCCTAGGTCAGCTGCTAAGAAATTTGGTCCCCCATGTCGTACGAGACAATTTTTCTCACCAGAATCTATCTTACATATCTATAAGTCTACCATTCGTCCATGCTTTGAATATTGCTGCCACATATGATCCAGTATTCATGCTATTTTTCTACAGCGCCTTGATAAAATCCAAAGAAGAATCGGCAATATTATCAGTCTTGAGCTGGCAGCTTGGCTTCAGTCACTTTCCCGTCGCTGTTAGCTTGCCTTTGTGTCTTTTCTATAAATATTTTCATCGTAATTGTTCGGGTGAACTCTTCACTATGATACATAGACTTTTTGAATTTAAACGAAGTATTAGACTGGCGTCGAGATATTAAAAAATTACAGTTGAGCCTTCTAGATGTAGCCGTAAATTCAATGTCATCAGTTTCTTTTTCGCAACTCTCGCTTGTGGAACTCCCTTCTGACTATATGTTTTCCTGCCAACTTTAATCTGCAAAAAATTTAATGCAATGTCAATTGCTATCTACTGCCCTCCTGATTACTCTTCTCTTATTATCGTTCCTTAGTAATATTTCTGTTACTAACTCTTCCACAACCAGTCCCCTTGTGTCTTAGTGGCTTTATTGCCTTGCTTGGGTTAAACTCGATTAAAAAATATTGGTTTCTTTTTCACTTCTGCAACAGGATTACGTTATATGTTGGGGTGGAGGTAAAAGGTGGAACGGATCTTGTGTACTATAGCGAAACAAATGCTCAAGAAGAAATATATTAGTTAAGAATAACCTACATTGCTACTAATCTACATTCATTGGCATACCAATTAGTATCGAATTCACTCGTAATCGCTAGCGAGACTAGCACGCACGGTATCACTCTTCGGCAGGTGTTCGGGCCAAAAATAATCCGGATGTATTAAAATTACTGGCAAAAATATTAACTTCATTTTAAAAACGTTCAATCAGGATCTGATTGATGTTAAGGAAATATAACGTGACTAGCAAAGACGGCGGCTGTTTGGAATTTTCATCCACGAAGCATGAAGCAATAATAGCCGATCACGCAACTGGAGTTGATTGGCTACTGACAGAATCTACTTCGCTGTGAGTAATATTAGAAAGATAAAAAAAAAAAGGTTTCACATAAATAGGAAAACACATCAATGTTGATTTCTTTCTGAATGTTTGGAATAAGGAATTATTATTCATATTATTACTACAATTATTAGCTATTCGTTGCAACATTACTCAATTTGGTTGTCATACTTCCAACGCTTCGGCTTCCATTCAGACACATGAAAAAAATCGTCAGGTACATATTAATCATGTAGAGATAAACCAGAATAAACCAGACAGAAAATTCACATATTTTGGAGCTATAGCCTCCTTAGGAGTTACTGTAATTTTCGAATACCTAACTAGGGGGCGGATAACGCCAACTCCGAAAACATTATCCCCAGAACTCTTAACGAAGAGTCAAACGATCCAGAAAAGAAGAAAATGCAGGTATTCTACTCGGAATTAACACGTGTCATCTGCCCAGATAATCAAATCAGAAGAAATTCTCCCTGGATCAGCCACTCGCTCGCCAAATAATCCCCAGGGAGAAAACAGGGTCACAAAGTCTGTTCGGAGATGAACTGATATTCTATTTGTGGTAAAAAAAACAAAAAAACACCAGCGATCCAAATGTGAATCATACTGGTGAATATTAATGAATAAGAATTAAACACATAAGCACCGAATCGTCACAATTTTCATTTCTGATCGCAGATAGAATAGACAATTACTTCTTGATTCACAATTCACAACATGTATAACGAATACAGAGATTTTGGTTGAGTTGTGTTATGGGATGATAGCACTGGGGATGCATTTGTGTTTCTTCAAACAATAGATTAATAATTAATAAAAAGAAAACTACGTATAATTAACAAATACCAATTGGAAATAATACGAAAATACTAAATAAAAATGTGTATGAAGGGATATTGTTATCGTACGCATATATGTGTGGATATCTTATAAAAGAGTGTGGAGATTTAAGTTTGAGAAGAGTGCTTTTTCAGTTCGTTTGATAGGGTTATTGCTTGCCGTGTTGTGTTCAGTCGACACGAAGTTCACTGGGGACTGAAAGGTACTTCATTTGGGAAGGATATACGTTTGATCTCTAACCTGTGGGAAAAGACGCGGATGTAGCGGGTGTTAGCAGACTTAATTTGGCAGGCAAGTGGGGTAATCAACCAATTTTTCACACAGATTTTTAATATTTATTTTAATTGTAAAATTTTATTTTCAACTCCAAGTTACAATTATTAAGAATAGGCTGTTGGTCTAACCAACATGTGCCAAAGCTATTCTTTGCTTTATAAGTTCATATTTTTCATAAGGTTTCTAATAGAATAGAGATAAATTGTAAAAGGTTAAAATCTTGGAATACAGTTCATTTTATATCATTCTAATATCATTGTAAGTGTAAATCTGCGCCTCTTAAGTTCATATTTACGCCTATCATCTGAGAAAATAGAAAATCCTTGGCTTGAAAATCAGTCGCTCGATTTTACATTGTCCCTCACGACAACCACAGGCGTTGTATGACAATATTCAACTACGTTAGACATCAAACAAAAATGTAGACAAATAAATAATTATACATTGATAAAGTGGTGGGCAGACTGATGAGATAAATATTAAACGATTTAGATAGAAAGAAAGAAAGAAAGAAAGAAAGAAAGAAAGAAATATTTGTTGTGTTGATTGATTTTATTGTATTATATGTTAAGGTTGATGGGTTATTTAATGTCTGTTGTTATATTTGAACCTATAAGGCGATTCAAAACTCGGTCCTGGCAACCATGCAACTGGGGTCTACGACTGGGGGATGACATGTGGAGATCTAATTAACTGCTAAATAACAATTTCGGAGAATATTCTTTTAGCAAGGAACTTGTTAGTAATGTCCATTAATTAGCAACTATAGATAATATTGGAAAGCGACTTACAATTATTGACTAATGCAAATGTACAAAGAAAGAACACAGATTTTTAATATCTTTTTAAATGTAAAATTTTATTTTGGAGTCTGAGTTACAATTATTAAAAGTAGGCTGTTTGCTAGGTGTAACCAACTTGTGCCTACACTATTCTTTACGTATACCTCTAAATTTCATATTTTACATACGGTTTCTAATAGAACAGAGATAAATTGTAAAAGGTACAAATATTGTACCTAATCTCGTAAGGTTGGCTGGTTGGTTGATAGGCATACTATTGAGCCTATCAACCAACCAACCCTACGAGCATACACCCTCAAATAATCTGGCTGGAGAGCGAGAGGCAGACCAAGAAGACGCTGGAGCGATTCATTAGCAGACACAGAGCCCACAAGATATCTCACCTCCAGGCCACTCGCCTTGCCGCTGATAGACGACTGTGTCTACCCGCGACGCCTAACAGAACAAGCGGAAAGAAAAACTAAACTAAACTACAAATCTTGGAATACAGTTCATTTTATCTCACTCTAAATGTACGTGAGAAATGTTGGTATCTGCTTACATTTTAAATATCAGCTTATTATTCGTTCTGTCGGGACAAAGGCAATGAGTAGGATTGAAAGCGTTGTAATATTTGTTTACCAAATTGTTTGTTTGTTTGTTTTGTTTTGTTTTACGGCATATCAACCTCAATGGGTCATTTCATGCTGACGACTTTTTTTTCCGATAATATTTTTCTTTTGTTAGAAATCCATTTCTATCAATATTTTCTTTCCTCAAAAATATATAGCTGGTAATAGTATTTTTCCAAAAACGTATAGCTGGTTATAGTATTGTCAAAAACGTATAGCTGGCATATCTTTTCAAAAACGTATTGCTGGTAATATCTTTTCCTTCAAAAATTTATTTCTGGAAAT